ATATATATATATATATATATATGAAAAAGAGAACTCATATATAAGCTTCATGCAACGATACTAAAATCGAAGTAAGGATTTAATTGTAAGTTCGTTAAAGATTTGGGACTTTATGTGCTTGTCCTTTAAATAAAGAAAAATGTTTCGTTAACATTTGACGTTGATAGTGATTTTTCACTAATTAATTGAAGAAAAAAAAGGCATGTATTTTTTTTATCAATATTTTATGGTGATAACTGGGAAGATTCTTTTTTATTACGCTATATTTTAGAGTAAAATTCAATAAAAAATTATTATTATATTATATAAAATTTCTTATTACATTACCGAAACAAACTAATTTGATTATATTATGAAACTTTATTGTTTATATAAACCAATTTTTTTTTTAATTTAGTCCCTTTTATTTATTTTTTAATTTTATTCTTTTATTTTCTCTATTTTATTCTCATATTTTTTTTTAGCAATTATCTGGGTTGACCAACTAAGTTGGCTAGATCATATTGAAACTATTCACACATGATTTAATTTTAAATCTCAAATTAGATAAAAAAATCTGATTGATATTTTTTTTATCATTTTTTTTTTCAATTTTATTCTCAAATTTATTTTAGTAGTTGACTAAATTGCCATCAAATTTGTCAAATTGACTAGGTTATATTAAAATAACTTTTATTTTATTTCATCTATTTTATTCTCATATAATTATTTGAGTTGTTTTTGGACCAACTAATTTAGCTGGATCATGTTGAAATTATTCATACATGATTTAATTTTAAATTTTAAATTAGACAAAAAGTTTTATCAATGTTTTTTATATTAATTTTATTTTTGTTTTTTCAATTTTATTCTCAAATTTATTTTATTGGTTGACTAAATTACCATTAAACCTGCTAAACTGACTAAGTTATATAAAATAACTCTCATATAATTTAATTTTAAACTTAAATTAGATAAAAAAATTGCTCGAAAGGTTTTTTTTCTATAATTTTTTTTTTAATTTTATTCTACCAATCAACCGAGTTGTTTTTGAACATACTGAATTCACTAAATTATACCGGGCTAACTTTCATCTAATTTAATTTTAAACCCTAACAAAGTATAAGGTTAAATTAAAATATTTTAAAATTAACTAGTTAAGTTTAATAATAATATTAAATAATTCTTACACCTGAGATGTAATCTTGTCAAGTTCAGAAAAAAACTTTTATCCAGTACGCAAAGCAGAGGAGATTATATATATATAGTGTTGCAAGAGGAATAAAAAATGTAGAAACAGAGCATAAATAAAATTATATATTAGGAGATTTTAGTAATTTCGTTTATTATCTAGACAAGCAAGAATTGCAGGAAAATGTGGTTGGAGTAATAATTATATTCAGAGCGGCGAGGCGTAAATTGATAGAGACCAAGCCTTCACATACAAAAAGGAACACTTTGGTACCTCTAATTTTAGGTTCATTTTATCACATCCCTGTATTTTTAATATTTTTCATAACAATCCTTATTTTTTCGTAAATTTCAATGTAACCCATGGTATGTCAATACTAGTCATGAGATCAACATCCTACGTTAAAGCTTCGGCAAGTTAAATCGAGCTTGAAATAGTTAGTATCCACACACAATTGGAAAATTTGTGGATTGTAAAATAATTGTGCAAAAGAGCAGAATATAGAAGAAAATATGTGGAGAATTTGAAACTAAAATGAGCAAAGAATTAGAATTAAAGGAGTACACAGGGTATGATTATATATTTGTAGAAATAATAGCCAAGAAGCAAAATGTTCCCCCAGTGCTCCAGCAATCAGACGTTTATTGGCTGTGCAAATGTACAGTCACACGGTCTTCACTCGCTGCAGAACATGTAGATTTTGTCTGTATACCATGAAGAAGTGGAGGTCAGAAATCAAGAGTGCTGCAGAGATTAAAGTCACGAAAATAATATTAAATTCCAATTTAATTAATTTTTTCCCCATGTCTTTTACTTTTCTTTTTTTATGTTATTTTGGCTATTCATTCACCTTAAATTACTTATGTTTTTTAATGGTATGATAACAAGTAGAAGAGATTTTATAAATATAAATTAGATATAAAAATAATAACAAAATAATTTAAAAAATTATATTTATTATAATAGATTGATTCACGGAACTCATAATTAAAAAGCTTAACTCATATCAGATTTTAATTTATACAAATAAAAACATTGATTTTAATAAATTTAATTACTTCTACTATATTTTTAACTATTTATTTAACCAATCAAATTTAATCAAAACTTAATTAAATTAAATCAAATAATTTTTTTAAAATAAAATTATATTATTGAACTATATATGTATAAATTTTTTTTGAAACATGTATTTTAAGGTGATTGAACTATATATAAATTTTTATTTGAAATATGTATTTTCAGGTGCTCAAACTATATATGAATTTTTTTGTTAATATATTTTAAAATTACTTATAATTTTATAGTTTTACAATCTATTTTTACAATCTAAATTTATATTATATTTTCCATGCTGCGTTAAAATTATAATTTTAACAACTTTGATCAGAATTATATTTTTGCTCCATGTTTTAGCTTAACTAATAATGATCAAATTAATAGATGGAACTCAATAGTACACAGCAAGAAAAACCAGAACTATCAAGAAACCAGAGAAAGGAGACAAAAATGGTGATGTGGGATTTTCATTGATAGAAATACTTGAAATTCTAAGATTTTTAGGATCGTATCAAGCTATGGGCTCGGTTTTTAACCCAAAATAATGATCATGGGCTTTTATTTTATCAGAACATAATAAGCCTGGATTATTTATAATATGTTTGGGCTTGATGGGTGGGCTTGGCCCTCTACTGCCGACAAGGTACTTGAAACATGGGCATGAAAACATCCATTCTATAAACCGCCAACTTTAAAAATACCAAGATGTTAGGGATGGTATTGGATAAATCTTTTTCATTGTAAAAAATAATGTTAAAGTAATTTACGTATTTCTAAAAAAACAAATAAAAAAACTCATGTTATTAATTTGACTAGGTTTAATAGGTTTGACTAATTTAAGTAAGATAAATTAAAAAAATACAATAAAATAATAAAAGAAATTGAAAAAGTATAAATGGTAAGAAAAAAATAATCCAAGTCCACTTAGATTCATATACCAAATTTATAATTTTTTATACTCATAGAAAATAAATTGAATAAAACTTTAGAAGAAGAGGAAAATGAAGAGGCAGGAACATAGTTTGTTCAAACTAGTTTGATCATAAGCAAATTAAGGTCCAACTTGAGCAGGGTCTTGGGCACACCTGGTCGGGCTGGGTCTTACTTGAATGCTAATGTCCACGACAGCCGAGCAGGAGATGGGAAGCCCATCCCATATTTTTGTAGGATTTTTCCCCCCTTCAAGGGAATACTTTTCTAAGAATTTGAATGACTTGTGCGGGAAAACTACGAAATTTTGAGGTGGTTGGAAGGGTATTTTTTCAGATTTTGATTTTTTTATTTAAAATAATTTTTTAAATTATTTTAATGTATTGGTGTAAAATAATTTTTTAAATTATTTTAATGTTAAATTGTTATCGTTACTTTTTAAAAAATAATTTTTTTTATTTTAATGTGTTTTTAAACAAAAAATATTTTAAATTGTTATCGTCATCATAATTTTAACATGTTTGAAACATGATTGTGATTGTTTTTTAAAGTTTTTTTACATGAAAATATATTAAAATAATATTTTTTATGTTTTTAAAAATATTTTTGATATTAATACATCAAAATAATTTAAAAATATAAAAATTAAATTAATTAAAAAAATACTTTTAAAACTAAAATGTCAACTATTCAATTTCACTCCTATATTTTAAATTTATTCATATAAACCTTAGGTTTTTTTACTCACTTTTTCATCACCTAATATTATTTTTTGCAATCGTCCGTTTTACAGTAGATTCTTTGCTGGATTAATATTTTTGGATGTAAAAACCATGTACATAAAAAATAAATTGCAACCAACATATTTTCTAGTTGCTAAAAGAATCTTGATTATGAACTATATATATTAAATTAAATATATATATATATATTAAATTAAAAATTATTCAAATAAAAATAACTTTGAATCATAATTGCCATAACATATATTTAAAATACTTTCAATGATGTCGTTTTGTGTGTATAATTGTTAAATTGCATCATATCGAACAAATAAATAAATGATATTTAAACCAGAATAAATATAAATCTTTAAAACTCTGAAAATATAAAAATAATAATTTGCAAGTATAAATCTTCATTTTTTATTAATACTTTTACTTTTTTTCAAAAAAAACCCAACTTTTTGCTTGATATCGTTTATTTCTTAAAAATCAAAAGCAATAAGAACACTATCAAAAACGTTTTAGACAATTTAAAATAGATATAAAAATATATCTTTCTAAATTCCAACTGAAATCACTTTGTTCCATCATGGATAACTTTGAACAAGAGCGAAAGAGAACATTTTCTAAATTAAAATCTCAAAATATTAAAACTCAACCAGAAGTAAGTTAAAGAAACTATTTATACTACTCGGACTAAATTTCATTGAAAAAGAAAATAAAGAAAATAAATAGTTATAAAGGTAATATAAAATCTAACTAATATTAGTATTGTTAAAAAAAATTAAAAAAAGCTAATAAAAATATTTATTTTTAACTCGGACTAAATTTCATTGAAAAAGAAAAAAAGGAAAAAAAATAGTTATAAAGTTAATATAAAACCCAACTAATATTAGTATTGTTAAATAAAATTTAAAAAACTAATAAAAATATTTATTTTTTAAAAGATACTAATGCAACTGATGGTAGGAACAACAGATTAAATTTATCCTTCCCTTTCTATTGATGACCCGTCGACGACAAGAAGCAACACCACCCCCCCCCCCCCCCCCCCCCCCCCCGGCAGCTTAATGTTCCTCCTCCTCCTCAAACCTTTGTAAACGTTAGCGTCAAATTCCGGCAAAAATCTCCTTCATGGGCCACTCAACACAGTCTTTTAGTTGCACTCCGATCCGGCAACGGCCAGGAGAAGAGATTTCCGGTTAAGAACACCAGAGAGGAAGATGTTGCCTATCATTTTGCCTATACTTAATCCCGGACAAGAGATAGAATCTTCCAATATGATGCTGCAATTTTAAGATGTGTTTGGCATTGAAAAAATTATTTTTTAAAATTAATATATTTTTAATATTTTTAAATTATTTTATTATACTAATTTTAAAAATAAAAAATTCTTTAAAAATCAATTACAATCACAATTTAAAATACACACTTATTACAATCACACTTCAAAATACACACTTATTACAATCAGATAATAACGTGGTGCGATCTGCTACACAGGTGGGATGTTTCCGGATAGTTGTTTTTTCATTTTTTTTATTTAATAATATAATAAAATAATATTTTTTATTTTTTAAAATAATTCAAGAAAAACTCAATTTTCTTTTTTAAAAAAACAACATTTAAAACACAATCGGATCAGAGTCAGTATGGGCTCCTGGCCTCCCAGTTTTTTAAATGTTTTATTGTTGAAAAATCTCTGTCACTGTGAGTATTCCTAGAAAGAAAGAGAGTAAGAGAAAGCTCCTCTGTTTGTCTGCCAAAAACCCAAAGGACAATCCCGCTTCCCTAAATCCGTGAAACCAGGTCGTAGAACAGGACAATATGCTTTTAAGTAGATACCCAATACAAGACAAAACAAAATAAACCTTCCACTGACAGAACCCCAAGCCAAACCCTAAAATCCCTCTTCTTAGGCCAAAACCCCATTTAACAATACAGCATCCTTCGCCTTCCCGCCTCCCCTGACTATCTATATGCAGACAGAGGCAGATCGACGGACAGGAACAGACATGATATTTACTCAAAGGAGAAGGAAGTGAGCTCAAATGCTTGTTAGGAGGGATGCAGAAGTTACTACAAAGAAACCCCTCAAGCCCCCTCCTCTGTACTTCCTTTTCTACTAATTATTTTCTCTTTAAAAACAAAAACTATTCCTATATCTCTCTTTCGATGCCAGCTGCTACTCCCCCTCCTCTGTACTTCCTTTTCTACTAGTTATTTTCTCTTTAAAAACAAAAACTATCCCTATATTTCTCTTTCGATGCCAGCTGCTACTTGTTTTTACAGTAATAGCTCTTCTTTAGCTGCCTCTTTAGCTAAAAAACTCACTCTCGCACCCGCACTGCCCTCCCGCTTCTATTCAACGACTGCCTGTAGTGCTTCCCGCTCAGTGCTTCCCGTTGCGCTGTTGGGCTTATAACGAATACCCCTATCAGGTCATGGGTGGTGGCCCGGCCGGCGTGGTATTGCAAGGTGGCGGGTGGGCAGGAAGGGTCTGTTGTGACTGCTGCGGCTTTGGCGGCTGGTGAAGGTGTGCGGAGTAGTGGGGATGGAGATGAGGAAGGAAAAGGTGAAAAGAGTGAAAAGGGTGCGGAGGAAAAGGCCGCGAGGTTGAGTAGGAGGCAGAAGGGGACAGGTGGTGATATGGAGGGGAATGCTGATCTGTTGATAATTCCCGGTGTAGGGCCGAAGAATTTGAGGAAATTAGTGGAGAAAGGGTTTACAGGAATGGCTGAGCTTAAGCAGTTTTATAAGGATAAGGTAATGGTAATTGTTTTTGTTATTCTCAAATTTTGGTGTTATATTTCTGTAGGTTTTTAATTTCCTGATATGGAGTTTGTTTGCTGTGTATGAAGTATTGGTTTGATGGGTTTTAGGTTTAGATTTAGGAGAGTTGAAATGGGGTTTTGGTTTTGTAGATGCGAACCAGCTCCTTTTGGTGCTGATGATTTTGCTAAATGGCTGTATTTTTAGAATTTTGTAACTATAGGAATGCAAGATTCATTAGAATCATGTCCTAATTGGACGCAATGATTGTCATGGGTACCAAGTTCTTACAGCCACGGAGTTGAACAAACATCATAAGAGATTAAATTTCACTTCGTGTTTTGATGAGAACAGAGGAATCACTTCATAGATGTAATTGTTTGGTCCAGTTAGTTATATACTGTTGCAACCTGCAATTCAATAGTTGTTAAAGGTGATCTCTTATGCCGGTCTAAATTGGGCTTACTGATTGCATGTGATTTCCAGACTTTTATGGTCGCGGATTCAAATAAATAGTTCAATAGAGCAAGTATTATTCTATGTTTAATGGTGAATGGAGGAAATTTCATTCAAAGGTTGGACATAGTCTCTCTCTCTCTCTTTTCTCGCTCTCTGACTGTATACTAAGTTACTAACAGGAATTCTGGGCCACTTGTTGTAGTTTCTTGGAAAATCCAGCAAGACAATGGTCGAGTATTTACAGAGTTCTGTGGGAATTATTCACAAAAATCATGCTGAGAGCATAACAACTTTCATCAAAGAGAGTGTGGATGAAGAGTTAAAGGATTTGAATTCTGATGCAAGGTCCAAAACTAAGAAGCGACTCACGTTTTGTGTTGAGGGAAATATCAGTGTTGGAAAGACAACATTTCTTAAGAGAATAGTTAGTGATACAATTGAGCTACGAGATCTTGTTGAGGTGGTGCCTGAACCCATTGATAAGTGGCAGGATGTTGGCCCTGACCACTTTAATATACTTGATGCTTTCTATGCTGACCCGTCAAGGTATGCCTATACCTTCCAGAATTATGTCTTTGTGACAAGGGTTATGCAGGAAAGAGAATCATCTGGTGGGCTGAAGCCGCTCAGGTTGATGGAAAGAAGTGTTTTCAGCGACAGAATGGTAAGCATCCTTTGAGTCATGGTTTTAAAGTTGACAAATAGTTATATTAGTTAATGTAATTCATTTTTACCAGAAGCGCCAAAGCATACTGATTGGCTCTTACATCCCTAATGATTGAATTAAAAGACTTTGGATTTTTGTTTAAGTTTGATTATGATCAAACATGGATTCAAAACCTTGCAGTTCTTTCTCCTTTGGTTGATCCCATGCGAGAGGAACAAAAACCTGATTTAAGCGTTCAAGGCTGATAAATTTTAATCTCACTCTTACTTGATAAAGGTCTTTGTACGAGCTGTGCATGAGGCAAAGTGGATGAATGAGATGGAAATCAGCATTTATGACTCCTGGTTTGATCCGGTTGTCTCAGTTTTGCCTGGGCTTATTCCTGATGCTTTCATCTACCTTAGAGCAAGCCCTGATACTTGTCACAAGAGAATGATGCATAGGAAAAGAACTGAGGAAGGTGGAGTCAGCCTAGATTATCTTCGTGACTTGCATGACAAGCATGAGAGCTGGCTTTTCCCATTTGAAAGTGGTAATCATGGGGTACTTTCTGTGAGTAAGCTACCTTTAAATTTGGATAATGCCCTACATCCTGATATAAGAGACAGGGTGTTCTATTTGGAAGGTGATCATATGCACTCAAGTATTCAAAAGGTATCAAACGCGTATCCTTTCCTATGAAATTCACATGATTGAAAAGAAAAACTGGCTTACAGCTTTTGTTCTGAGCAGGTCCCTGCTTTGATTCTTGACTGTGAAGCCAACATTGACTTCAGCAGGGATGTTGAAGCCAAGGAGAAGTAAGATAGCCATCATTTTACTTTAATCTCTCATCTTATGAGCAGATATATAATTTTATTTTGTTTTAAAGTGGTCACCCTTTCCATAATACATATGATGTTTTAGATAGAGAATAAGAATTTATTAACGGGAACAATGTTGAATTAAAAGGAGGAGAATAGGCATCCTCTCTAATGTAGAAAATGCCAGAAAAACCTTTTAAAATGGCATCCACCGATGTAGAAACAATAATGAAACAACTTAGAAGGGCAATGGATAAAATAATATATCTTACCCCGCAAAATTGCATTGAAAATAGAGTTAGCTCCAATTAACGAACTCCAGATAACTTCAAGTTGTGGCTCGCTACCACTAAGCGTTAAGTTACATTCCTTCTCTGTAAGAATACAGCAAACACGAGTCTTCCCATGTACTTTCAGTTTCTTGGCCAATCTTTTGAAGCTGGCTGTATCATTATATCTCCTTAATTGCTTGCTGCACTAGCATAAATCCAATTTATTTGTTATGTGGTGTTGAACTGCTGTCTGCGAACACTCGAGTCATATTACCAAATTTAGTATGTTTTAAGTTTTTATTAATTTTAATTGAGGAGTCTGATGCAGATCTGTGTGCTGCGCAGGAGCAGGATATTTAAGTTTATTGTACAACCACGTTTCTCATATGTCAAGTCTTAAAAAAAAAAAATATGGTACAAACGTGCCGGCATTGCACTCAATGTTGCACTCTACAGCTATCGAATGAGAACACACACACACACACCGACTCTCATGTGCTTGTACGAAAACAAAAGCGAAGACATGTTGAATTCATGAGTGGAATATTGATGAGAAGTATATCATTGTAGTTATTGTTATTATCAGAATTAAATTGCTACCTCCTGGTCTGTAGCCCCATTTGAAAAGTGTAGTAGGCATGCACCACCAAGTTGAATGAGTTTTGCAATCAGTGAGGAAAATCAAAATGCTCTTGTTTCCTGGCATGAAAGTTTTATTAGTGTTTATGGTGAAAATTCTTATACACGCTTGATTCCTAAAGCCCGCATGCTGTTGGACTGATTTGGTTAATGATGTTCTTTGTGAAGCTATGCGCGCCAAGTTGCAGAGTTTTTCAAACATGTGAAGAAAATGAAGGAAGTTCCATCTACAAAGGGTGATGGTGGTGTTAACCAGCGAAAGGTCGTCCTACCTCATGAAGGAGGATTGCTTTTACCAAACGGAGCGCACTTCCCCGAGTCTGCTCTCAAATCCTTAGATTTTACTCGGGCAATGTCATTCATGTCTGGCCAGTGATTGTCTGCCTGGCCTTGGTTTTCTTGACCCCAGGATCACTTAAAGAGGAACCTGCGTGTTTGTCTGACATGTCTCTGGATGATGTGACTAGTTTCTGTGTGGATGTAAAAATGGTTTTAACCCTTAGGATTTAGAGATGTAGAGATGGTTGTATGATTGTTGAATGCTTTGATAATCCAATGTTTGGTTGGTTGCTTTAGGCTTGAAGCTTTGTTCTTCACGAAATATAAGGAATGCTTGGTTATTCTTCTTGGATAGAAAAGATAAATGAGGCAGAGATAAAAATGGATTTGGTTTGAGAGATAAATTTATTAATTTTAGAGAATTTATTTCTAAAATATAAAGTACAATGGAGAAATATCTTCGGAGAGATTATTTATTATTTTTAAAATATTATTATA